TACTTGAAACCAAATAATTAAAGATTAAGTGGAAGGTACACAAAGAACGTCGACAATAATAACGTCGTTTTATAGCTTTATAAGTGAATCGTGCAAACATAAAGGGAATGTATTTTTAAAACTGCTACAAATGCTTTAGTTTCTGTCTATTTTTCTCTACATTTCTGCAGTTAACTAGAGAATGGTGATTGGAATAGCCGGCCGAGATGGTCGCTATCAGCGGAAATAATTGCACGACATGAGTGTACACGTCGGGCTAACGATTCACGGCGCTATGAAGATCGTAATCGGTCACCGCGATGGACTGCGAAAGCAAGCAAGGGGTTGTTAGCGGCCCGTAGGAGTAGGCGCTAAACAGCAGATAATGAAACGAGTCGACGCCGGCAATTTTATCGTGAAATTAACGCGGTTCGATCTGGCTGCCCACACACACACCGAGACGCGTGTCTCGCGCTGGAAAATCGTGACGTCGAGTTTAATTTCGTTACGCCCACGCACGCTGTTACGCGCGCGCGCGCGCGGCGATGATACGTTACCTACATTCTTTTCAAAACATTCTATTGGCAGCTTATTAAAAACCGCGTGGGATTTACGCGGTAGTTTGAACCCGGCGTATTGCAAGTGGGACGAAATGTCCGGTCAATTATTTGAATTAATATAATGGATATTGCGTTTTTGTTGCAGTGACAGTTTCGTGCAACATACAAATTAATGTATCATAAATAGATTTTCATGGAAATTATCTTTGTGAAATCATTTTGCAAGCAACTATAGTCTTGGCAATCGTAGAAGCTATTATTACAGAAATATTAACAAATATTAAATACTTGACAGCAGAACTTGTCAGAATTTTGTATAATAGTTCATTAGATTTCGATGCAATACGAATTCTAACAGCAGTAATAAATGTATCGTTAAAGAAACGTATTAGTTGATACTCTTCTATGTGCATTGGGTTTGGAGATATTAAATGGGAGTCGAATTTGAAAAAGACGAGTGGGATCAGCGAAGCCGACGCGTGAAATCCACCCCTTGGCCAGTCTACCCCTTCGTACCGGGGTAGAATCTGCCCTAGAATTTGCGCGCGCGATCGTTACCGAGGAGAGAGAAAGAGGAAGCCGTTCCCGAGGGAAATCTGCAGGAGTGCGTGCCGAATGTGGTCACGGCAAACGATTCAACGATGTCTGCAACGAGGGCGAGCCCTTCCACCGCGACGGTCTTCAAACAACGATGACATTTCGGAAAACTTTATTTACTTTACTTTTATTATTCAATTAAAACTAATTCTGTTTGGATTTTAGAAATTATTATCAGCGTTCGAAATAAAATCCTTTCGATTCTTTAATCAACGGTAAGTGTCGAGTATAGGAATAAGTTTTACTATCTGTATATCAGGTTGCTTCTCATTCTCGGACAATTCTAATTTCCTTAATGGCTTCCTTTATCAAGGTCAGCTTTGCTAAACTTTTCTGATCGAAAACCACCCTCTGACAGGATCGTCTCCGAAATTTTCTCTCGTCCGAATGAGGAATCACGGGCGTGGGAGAAGGGAGTGCAGAGCAATGGCGCGTGGAACACGATCGCGAGAGACGACGCGTCGAGGACACGCGAGTGCGCGGAACACGAATCGGATCGGTGTTCGTTCGCTCGCTCGAACAGCAAAATGGCCCCCGACCCACGGTCTCGAAGCTCACACGCACGACGCCTCGTAACGCGCACGCGATCCGGTGTGCGCCGGTAATGAGACAGCGCCGCGTGTGTACGTGGTATGCGTGGGTGCGCACCCGCGTGGGACGCACGCCGAAAAAATCGAAACCGTCGCGTTCGACGAAAACTAATTCGTCGCTCGTCTGATTATTTCATCGTTACAACCCGCTGCGGTCAGAGTTCAGTGAAAGGGGTCGAAACCCTTCTTCTAACGAAGTAGAGATTTATTTTTATTCGGAAACATGGAAAGAATTTTTCCCCGAATTTGCAGATTTGAAGAATGCTTCACGAAACGAATGGAATGCAACTATTTGAAGTGTCCCACGGAAAACTATTCAGTTTCATCTATTTTTTTTTTGTTCGGCTCGTCTGGAAACAATTTCCAGCGCTCTCGAAAAAACAGAAAAAATCAACCGTGCGCCGGACGAGGGGGCCACGAGAGGCGGTGGTCTCGGTAATGGAACGCTAAGCGACATGTCGATGGGGTGAAGCGAACTACAGGTGTGCGGGTACACGCTAAGCAAATCACGAGCCGGGTAGAGAAACGGGAGCGTGCAATTTCCCGCGTACACGCTCGCTACTATCGCCCGGACGGGCAGTGGGCACGGCCGGACTGGATAATTAAAGCTGCGAGGCACATTTGATCCAGTTTCGCTCGATTCGTCCGTCCGCGCTGATTGTTTCCCGTTTTAATTTTCGGGATATTGGAAAAAGGATCCCATGCTCGAATCGCGTCCCGGTTGTTCTCGGGAAATGGACATTAAAACTGATTTTCCGGCCAACCCCGATTGGACAGTCTCCCCCGACTATTCTATTTTGTTTTCGTTCGTCCCTTCGTTTCGACGTCCTTTCTTGTCAACTTTTCACTTTAATTATTTCTTTAACTTGATAAATATCAGGGACACGAATTTTATAGAAGAATGGGTATGAATCCTGAATGAACGTAGAACATTTTCTTGAGAAGTACCAAAGAATTGATGGAGCAAAGGGTGTGAATTTCGGTAGAAGCGAATATCGACGACGACGAGCGTCGAGAGGCTGCGCTTTTGTTGAAGCACTCGAAAAAAGAAGAGAGGAGTCGCCGAATCTTCTTTCCGAACTGAAAGGACGACGGATGCCTGCTCGCGGCGCGGATTAAACGCGGAGATCAAGTATTCTTGATAAAGGCAGCGGGTCAAGTGGCGCGCGGAACGACTAAATCGAGGGAAAACCCAGCCACCTCCCTGTTGCTTTTAGGTAATTCTTTTTTTCTCTTTGTTTCTCAACCGACGCACCATTTACCTCTTTTATTGCCTCACTTAAGAGTCACCGATATAATAAATCATATGATGATTCTATACTTCAGATCGTGTCTAAGAATCATTAAGAAATGAATGATATGACTGACCATCAGATTTCAACGTAATCAAGGAATTAATGACAATCGAATCGAGACTTCTAATACCACGTCTAGGTTTAAGTAAATAGAAGGGATCGTGGATGAAATCCCAGAGTTGGATTAAGTTATCGCGATGGATTTCGGCGTCAAGTAGTTGTGGCCGTTGTTTCCTCTCTATTAGCCTCCCCCGTGGGCCCGGTACAGCCGCGGGGCCCTCGGTCGTTTTCAGCGAGCAGAGGAGAGCGAGGGGAGGTCCCAGGGTCTGCGGAAGCCAGCGTCGAAGCAAAGAAGCCTGGTTCTTTCAGCCACCACTACCCTCCTCCGTCCACGGAGCGGACGCGCTGCACCGTTCACCTTTTTTGCGAATCCTTTTTGCGGCAGTCCGTGTCGGCGTCCTTTGAAGGATTCTGCATCGCTGGCTCGTGAAATCTAGTCCTCCAGCCGGGGCCCGGAGCGATGTCAATGGCTGGCACAGCCCGACCTTTGTTACGACCAGCACACACAGCCTTTCTCTTCCTCTACCACCTCCTCCTCTTCTTCCTTGATTCTTCGTCCTCTTCTTGTTTCTACTTGCCGCTCCGTTCTCCCTCCCGCTCCCTCCCTCTCTCTCTCTCTCTCTCTCTCTCTTTCGCTCTCGATTCTTTTCTTAAGGCCCGGGGTTGAAGGGTAAGTAGTGGTAGTCGAAAGGTAACCGCGATTTTGGGCCACGGTTCACCTGCGACGACTGGCCCTCGGTGCACGAGCCCAGAAAATATTGGGCTTCCAGCAGGGTGAGATCAACCCTTTCTGGATTTTAGGGAAGATGAGGATCAAGGATCTAAAGTGTAGCATATGGAGCGGAAGAGTGATCTCTATCTCAAACGATTTAAAAAAAAAAAGAGATTCTCGACTCTGAGTCGAAATTTTAAAAGCAGCAAGTAATAACAATGTTTCTAAACTATGATTTTAGTACTAAAAAAGCTTTCGCTCTCCGAACGAATTATCTGTTAAAATCTGAGAGTCTAATCAAACAAGGCCCAAGAAAACAATGGCAGCTGTCCCTGAAACGCAAACTTGACTCCGGGTTCTCTAATATTCGATGGAAAGGAGGAAAATTAGCGCGAGCAGCACTCGGGACCCGGTCCGGGGATGGATCCTAGTAATCCCCGGTGCTTGACAGCGGCTGCCTTTGTCGGGAAAATCCCGTGGCGGCAAACAAAAATGAGACACTCGACTCGGGCTCGAGTCCTTCGAGATGGCTTCCTTGAGTGCCGCGGAGTCCCCCGTGGCACACGAGCAAACAACGGGGGCGAAAGGACTCGTCGGGGTCAGCAAACACCGGGAAAAACGGCCGGAGCTCCTGTTGCTCCCGTTTTTAAACCATCGCTACCTTTTTCCTTTTCGAAGCGCGTGGGAATGTTTGTCCACCGGGTCCGACCCATACTCCAGGGGTTAATGGATTCCGGATTTGGTCAATTCGTCGTGGAAAACGCGATGAAGTTTGACCCAGTTTCAGAAAACTCTTTTGTCGAGGACTCTCGGTGGCTGAATGCGTTTTTCGAGCGAACAGAAAGATTTTCGTACCAGCTAAGTGATAGCAATTTAAACCACCCCGTGTCGAACATAATAAATCCTTCTAACTTTCGATAAACAGATCGTGAATTCGATCTGCAGAAAATATAACGACTGCACATTATTATTCTCGCGTGTACTATTAATAGAATAGAATGTTCGATAAAAAGAACGCGTAAAAATATACGTGGAACAAATTGAGAATGGTGATCGTCTAGGTCGACGTGGCCCTAACGAGGTTCTTAAACAGCCGATCGTTAGGTCGTTAGCCGAGGGCGAAATACGTTAGCGAATTAATTGCGAGACTCGGAGCTCCGACTTAGATGCTAGTAAAGTAAGTAATTGTTTGGTTGGCGTTACGTACAGTACTTACAAAGCCGTGCTTGTCGCTGATGTTGTTAGTGAGCTTTAGCTTATGGAAGCTCACGACCTTCTGCATCCATTGCTCGCCGCTGCTGGGCGAATCCGGGTGGATGTACATCCTCTTAGGCATCTCCGGGTCCGCTTTCCCCGCCACCATCCATCTGCTGCTCGACAAACAATTAAACATGAAAACATTAATAATTTTTCACACAAGATTAAGTTGTAAAATTTCATTTTGACGATTAAATTATTAAACGGTACAATTTATTCTTTTTAAGATTGTCAAACTTAAGACTGTCGATAAGTGTTGGGACTGTTTTTATTTAAGGGGAGGCGTGTCTCGGTGGTGGGTCAAAATCGAACTAGCCGAAGGAGAACTCGTCCGACGAGTTTGAGAGTGGCTGCGGTCACCGGTGTGATGTAATCGTTCATTGTGGTCTATCGACTCTCTACGAACTCTGTGATGGCATCGGTGCAGTGAGCCAAAGCAATACAATTTTGAATTTTGGCTACGGTCCGGAGTAACTATGAATTGTGCACTGCGCTACTTGTACATCAGATCTCTTCGGTTTCAGATAAAAACAGCTTTGAATAAATTAAGATTGTTCAAGTTCGCGAGAGATCTTAAACGCAGGAAACGGGAGTGCGTAAACGGCTCAGGATGCAAAAAGAAGCGAGGAAGAGAAGCTGAATAGAGATCCCGTTTCATTGAGTCGTGGGAATCGGCGGGCGCATTTCGTAGCGCCATTTACGCGGACCGCGCGCGTATAGTAAGTATACCATCGAGCGTTGACACGTTTTCGCGGACGGGAACTCGGTCGCGCCGATTTCCCGGCTTTCCCGAACGCTCGATTATGTTCCGTTTAGCACCCTCGCCGCGCGTTAGAAAAACGTTAAACGCGACGAACGTTTCGTCGTGAGAATGTGATACCTGCGTTGCAACTTTCTGAGAAAAAGTTAATGGCGCGCTAATGACTGCCGGAAGGTTGCATCCTAAACCGTTGCTGAAAAACAGTCGAACAATGTATCGCCTTTTTCTTCTATATGGAATTGCTCTCCATTTACAGCAATTTTATTATACTCTACAGTTATTCATTCTTATACCAACCCAGGCAATAATTGTGTTGGATCTTACCCTAGCAGTTAATTTTGAAATATAGCTTTAGTTCTTAGAATAAAGTAAATCAGATAGCTGCTGACTTCGTCCCTTACTCGTAATGTTAAACTTTACTGCTTTGAGCAATATAGGTATATACTAAGTTTCAGTCTTTCTAGTGTTAACAACCTTTGTCAAAGGTGAATACGAAGGATTATTTATGATGCGATTTATGATTATTATGATACGATGTAGGGACTCGCAATTGGAAAATGCACAGTGACAATTTCCAAATGTGCAGCGGGGGAGCGATGGAGAGAAAGGTCAGTCCGCCTGACCATAAATTTTTTTCGTCCATTCCAACGCCAAAATATCAGCGCCTTTTCTCTTTTAACTCTTGTAATACCCTTAGCAGAGGGTAGTTAGCCTGGTTGCGAGCGTGTAAGCAAAATGTTACGAGTTCAAAGCAACTTATACGTGTTCTATACTATATTTTTTTGTCATCTTTAATAAAATCACTTTTAATATTAATTGAAAGCTCTGTAATTATTTATCTTACTGACAAGTAAAAACCTCAACAAATCATCTTGTCAAATATAAAAAAATGAAGACGTACATTGCGCATGAAATTATTCTGAATTTTTTAATTTTTCATCATATTCTTGCGTTGATCAAAAACTTTTATTAAGAAAAAATAGTTGAAGGCAGAAAGTGGCAACGTACAAGTAATCAGATAATTGCATTAATTTCCGCGTTTGCGTTCGTCACGAAAGCTTCGACGCAACAGCTTGGCCCGAGTTTAGGTTCGTGATCGCTTAGATTCATGCAACTATTCGCCTTGTTAACCCTGCTGCCCGTGACAATTAAACGTTTTACGATATTTCAACCCATTTTGCTTACCTGTTGTGAAACTTGTATCTATAGTCGTCCGCGGCCACGATGTCCAGCAGGAGAATGTACTTCGCCTTAGCGTCCAGACCGGAAACTCGGAACTTCATCTGAGGGAACATCTGCCTGGAACCCAGGATCAACAGACACACTCCAATTAGTTAATATAATGCGATAAACAATTGCATCGAATTTGTTTCGTTGTTATTCTTAAACATTACGACGTTGATTAAATTAAAAAATAATTAGATCATTATCAAAATAATTCTAAACGTGAGCTCGCAATTATGGTATCATATTTTCATAGATTAGACTTGATCTTCGATATCTCCTTCATTCAGTTTTCTTATAAAACGAGATCCGCAGTTTGCTTATTGTTATTAAAATATCCGCGACCCGCGATGGAATCCCGGAAAGAAGGTACGGATAGAAACGTGCACGAGTCAATCGCGGCCGCTGTCAGGTACGCTGACCAGGTAAAAAGCGGATCCTGTCGCGGCTAGGGCCAGGAACTTGGTGCACGCCGCGGTATTACCGTACCGCGCGGAAAGAAAGAAAAGGGGGCGCGCCTTCTGTCGCGCGATCGCGCCCGTTTCGGCGTGTTTTCACTTTTTCCGGCACACCTTTCGGACAAAAGGAATGCCGTTTCGCGAAAATACCACGCGAACCTGAAATCGTTCACTGGGCTTCGTACCGTTCTTGCCCGTTTACCCGCCGATCCCCGTTGTAATTCAGGTTACAGCAGGTGAGAATTTTATTGAAACGTTCACAACGATCTCTTGTTAAACGTTTCACATTTCGTTTCCTCATTTATCACGAAGCATTCTTGGTTACAAAAATTTATATGAATATAGTCTGTAAAATTTATGAGAATTATTGATACTTTTCATTGTTCTTCGATTCTGAAGCATTTTTTAAAACAAAAGGAGTCTGCGAGATTTGTAGGAATTGTAATAGACCAAGATTACTGTATACAGTGTTTGGAACGGTTTACGTAAGAAAGGAAGGAATATTTCGTGAAGATAAAGCTGTCGCAATGCTCGTCGCAAAAAGTAGGTGCTATCGCGACGAGTAAAAAACTGGCGACGATAAGGCTGATCGGTGGCTCGTGATTCGCGCGGCAGACATAACACGATTAATAAAATCCGGAGAACGCCCTCAGCGAGTCGCGCGGGTTCAATCGCTTTGACATTGATTCCGGACCACCTTGCAACCGTGTCCCGCCTATTTCCATGCGGCGGGAATCGTTTTTAGGCGGCCGCGTACCAAATAATTGACCTCCGCTTTTAATGAGATCTCACACACGCGCACGTCGAATTATGAGCCGACTAATTAATGAAGAAGCGGATTTACGAAGCCGCGATTCTGCTCCATCTTTTGATCGAACTTTTCAACCTCGTTTAAATATCGTCTTTCACGATAACAGGAAAAATTCATTTAATAACGATCGTACGCGGCCTGCAGATTTTCATGGAAAATAATATGAATGAAAAATTAAATTTCTACTTTTCATTAAAATAAATAAAGGCCAATCATTCTTGTGCTAAAACAATTTTCGTTGTTTCACCTTTTTGAAAAAGCTGGTAAGTGCAGAAAACCGGTGAATGGTTCGAATGCCATAATGGAAACCGCGATTACCTTAAGAGAAATCGGCTGCGCCCTCTTCGAATTATTGTACTTTTGTATGCTAACGGCGCGAGTATCCTTAAACGTCGTCGTTATAACGGCCGGGCCCAATTACGGTAATTAGCCGCCATAAACGAGTAGCGTCTGAGAAAGCACCTTCGCGGCTCCTCTCTCTACCCCCCTCGGAACGTGTACACGCGAACAATACAGCCGCCTCCTCTCTCCACGATAAATATAAGTCACCGTGTCTTCGCGTGGACATCCGACCGGATCCATTGTTTCGGTCTTTAAGAGCCTGATAATCAATTAGAGATCCTAACTACGAGCAGTGGCGTTCCAATGGGAGAGCCGCCTCCGAACTCTTTCAAATTTGTAACAATAAATTGGGAGCTCTGTAGAATCATCATAGAATCGAATTTTTGTCAAAGTGATTTCTTTTTCCATACTTCCTATACGTACGTATCAACGTCCAGGTCGATAGTTCATGGTATGGTAAGTTTGAATGTGCAAGGGATCGTTGAGCAATTTTGTGAAACTCAGACTGCGGAAACGGATGAACAAGAAATCGGTCGATGGAACGCCTTTAAAGGCCGTCCAGGGATTTCTGGTAGCATCTGCCTACTGTCCTGAATATCATGAAGGGAGGATCGATCCTCGTTCACGTAGAACGTCGAAGGACGGTAAGCCGGATTATCCTGGCCGTGCGAGCCAAAATACCCACGCGAATCGGAAAAGCCGGGAAGACCTCGCTCTCTCTGATTAACTTCGGAGATGGTAACGAGTCTCAAGTTCGTTCTACAGATCCAGAATTGATCATAAATATTTAAGCTGGATTCATTACGGGCGTTGCGTGCGTCGGAAATCATTTTTACGAACACCGCATGCACTTACGTACTTCAAATGCACAGGGTAATTGCAGTAATGTGCATAATTTAATTTTCTGATGGGAAAGCGGACACGCGTTGCCTTCTATGAGCATCGACAGTAGACAGTTTTCAAAGAAACGTGTCTGGCACGAAGTTGAATATTTAACAGAGATTTGTATCCTCTAATCTTAAAGACAATCAAGGCAATAATTATACAAGATAAGGTATTGCAATTTTCATTTGCTCATTTATAGTCTTATTAAATCTCGTTTGTTTTATAGCGTGTTAAGACTCGTAAACGGGGGGTGCACGTTCACACCGAGCTGGTGCAACGGTAACGAGCATTGGTGCCGATAAAGCGTGAAGAATAACCGGAGATCGAAGCTCCCGTGTCACATAACTCCGGTGAGCAAATTATCTGACCGAACTGAGTCGTACCAGGCTGTTGAAAGCTGTAAATCGTGCGATAAAGCTTCTCTTTCACAGCCCGGGGACCGAAAACTGTAACTTTCGAAGCGGTCGATAAGAATGAAACGCGGACAGATAGGAAAAGGAAAAGTTCTCGTCCGCGTGGACGTTAACCAGCCGAGTAGGGCCGTCTTGCCCGAAGGGAAAGGGCGTAACCCCGTGACATTCCTTTCCACGACGCATTTAATGGCCCCCCTCGTACAGATTACGGGAAAAAGAAACTCGGCACACGTGTTTCGGGGCCTTATGATTTTATAAGCGTCCAGCACCCTTTCGTGCGCGGTTGGGAACACGTCTGGGAGACGTTCCGTGTTCGAAGTTTCTGAGAAACGTTCGGACCGAGCGACGTTCCAGAGTATCTCTAGACATTATTCTGAGGTTCGTCTCAAGTGTTTATAAAATTGATTCAAGCAATGTGTCATTGTGCATTTGCAGAGAATGCGAAGCCTCGTTCTCCTACGAAACCTCGTTCTGTTACTCTCTCAGAATCTGTCCCGTAATCCTATACCTATCAATGCCTCATGCTTAAACACTTCATGGCATTCAATCAGACCGTCGCAATATATGTATGTATATCATTTCGCCCTATACAATTTCATACGACTTTCACACTCAAAATAATAATTCCTAATTCCCAGACGTTAAACCAAGTTGAATCAAATGTCAGTTCACGGAAATTAAAATCGAACGATTAAAATACGACGCGATTGAAAGACTTGACATGAAATTTGTGGGACACCGAGTAGATGGGTTCTGGGTGTTTCCGCAGCGTGTGGCAGGTGGAAGCGAGCTCCGGGTTCCAGGAAACCTCAGGAGCCCGCGGGTGATGTGCGAGAACGACGACGAGGAGGACAACGAGGAGCCACGATATAACCGCGGTGAGCAGCCACGTCCCTAAATTCTTTCTCCCTTTCCCTTTGTCTCCTCGTTCTACTCGTTTTCCCCTCCGCCGCTGTTCCACCTCCTCTCGTTCCTTTTACAATTCGATAGCCTCTCGCTGGCCGTCGCGTCGCGTCGTCTCGCCCGGGCCCCCTGGCCCATATTTGTTTCTCAGACGGCGCTAATTTTCGCCGTTACGGCTCTATCGCCGAAAACCGATCTCGGATCGCCTCCAGCTATCAACGTCTCGTTAACCAAATCGAACATACTAGGCGGACCTCTTGTCGTCTTCCAGCAAACCTCGATCACAACCGAATTGAGGAAACTTCTTATAAGAATCAATGAAACGAATCACGCTCGATCTTTCCGCTAGATGAATAATAAAGGAGGAGAGTAGAAGATTCGACAAAATCGAATTTACGTGAATACCTGCCGCGATCCAAGCAAAACTGTGTTCCTTGAGTTATAGTCGCGTTCCGCGTCGAAACAACGAGCAAGGTAATTTATAATTGATTCTATTTTCATCTCGACTGTACAAACATTGATTGTCTGATATGTTCGTTTAATTATCTAAAAAATTTCCCGATCATCTCTCTGTTTCCAGATTTTAAAATATATTACGTATTCTAATGCACGTTGTGAACTGGAGACGTCAGTAGAAGAATGCAAATGGTTAACCAGCGAATTTTTTATCGAAACGAAATTGAATATTAGCGTTAAACCGAGAGAAGACCGTTTTATTCCCGAACGAAAAAAGGACGTAAAGATATTTTTCTGGTACGATCGCGAAAGGCGCGGATAATTAAATCCGAGAGCGAGCCGTCTCGCGTTTTATGCTCGCCGACGTGGCGCGAGCCGAGTTTAAAACTCGCGGTGGCCGATAAATCGAACGTTGAATCGTTATTTACGGGGCGTCATTATCGGTGGCGAAGCGCCGAAAGCTTGCCGCAACCCGGTAGCTTTCCGGTTAATTTATTTTATCGCTAAGCTTCGCCTACCGATGATTTGCCGCGCGGCCGTGCCTGTACCGTGACAATAAAATTGAAAGCCCCGCTGCGTTTTATGGCGAGATTAAAAAACGCTCCGACCGGCTTACACTGTAAATTGCGAACTCACCAATACACCGCGGAGGAATTTCGTGAGATAACGCCGTTAACCGACTCGAAAACACCGCCTCGATCGCGGATCACTCTTTGTTTAAGAGCATCGCGTGATTCTCTCGTACCTCTTGCCTTGCCATTTATCGTTGCAGAATCTTCAAGATGGATCATGAGAATGGTTCAATCG